TTTTTTTTTTAATGAGAATAGGGGACAAACCCATTCTGTGTCACTTTTCTTCAAACACGGGTACTGTGCTGGTGTAGGTGATGTGAGCAGACCACTAACTAGTACCCAGCTATGTGGGACTCATGTAAAACTAATGAAACCTAGAAGTCTGGAAGAAAGTCACGGGATACTTATCGAATGGTGCTGAGACCATAAGTATCTATGAAAAAATTGGATCTTTATCCAGTAACAGGTAAATACATTAATCCTGATTAATTAAAAGGTCTAATTGTCAATAGCAATTTTTTAGGGAAAATAAAAATATAGAGGGAGCGTTTTTGTAACAGTGGAGTAAGGTAGATTTCTTAACTCTAACAAAAATTGCGTAATATGTAGCCGTGGAAAGAATGATTATAAACTTAAAATAAAAATCTAATGTTCCTCAAAATCACATTTCTTTTAAATTTCCAAAAAGTTTCACCTGGGTGGGTCATCCGGTTAAATATCTGGCTCTTGATTTCAGCTCAGGTCGTATCACGGTTTGTGGGATCGGGCCCTGCGTTGGGCTTCTGAGCACAGTGCCTGCTTCGGATTCTCTGTCTGCCTGCCTCTGTCCCTCCCTTGCTCGCTTGCTTGCACATGCACGTGCTCTCTCCCTCCTTCTCAAAACATAAACATTTTTTTAAAAAGTAAAAATAGGGGCGCCTGGGTGGCTCAGTCGGCTAAGCGTCCCATTTGGTCATGATCTGCTTGGTTGTGTTCGAGCCCTGCGTTGGGCTCTGTGCTGACAGCTTGGAGCCTGGAGCCTGTTTCAGATTCTGTGTCTCTCTCTCTCTCTGACCCACCCCGTTCATGCTCTATCTCTCTCTCTCTCAAATATTAAACGTTAAAAAAAAAAAAGTTGGGGCGCCTGGGTGGCACAGTCGGTTGGCGTCCGACCAGGTCCGCCAGGTCACCATGATCCCGTTGAGTTCGATCTCAGAGCCCGTGTCGGGCTGATGGCTCAGGAGCCTGATGACTGGAGCCTGTTCGATTCTGTGTCTCCCTCTCTGCCCCTCCCGTTCATGCTCTGTCTCTCTCTGTCCCAAAAAAAAAATAAATAAACGTTGAAAAAAAAATTAAAAAAAAAAAAAAATAAAAAATAAATTTCCAAAAAGCTATGGCAGTGACTGGGAGTAAATACGTTTAAACCACATAACTGACAAAAGAATGGTACCTATTACGTGCAGTGAGTTATGCAAACTAGTAGGCAAAAAAAAAAAAAGCACAGAGGCGACTAACAGTGGCCAAACCATGAATAAACTATTAGGAGATGCTCAGCTGCATTATTATTTTGTAGGCATCACGTACATGAGTCTTGTCTGGTCCACTGTGACCGTCTGTGTCTTCTGACTGATAGTCACATGGATTCTTGGTGTCCTGGGTGGGCGCCTACCATGTCTGCTCCATTTCCTGCTCGTTGCCCGGCCTTCTGTGGCTTTAACTGGGCATTTCATAGGGTCCCTTTCTCTCTCCTTTCTTATCATATCAGTTATCCTTATTTTTAAAAAAAGTAACAGCTTTTTTACTAGTTGCTCTGGAGTTTGCAGTACATGTTTACAGCTGACCCACGTCTACACAGGCAGCCCCAACCCTCTGTCACCCCACGATGGCACTGCGCCCCGTCGCTGTGCTCGTGCTAGCATTCGCTTTACCCGCACAAACGCACGCGAGTATGCGAGTCGTCGATGCGGCAAGTGCACAGGTGGGCATGTCGTTGCCGTGGCGAGTTCGAACAAGCAGTTTTCTCCTGACTCCATCAAGAGCAACAAACATGAAAGTGTTCGTTTCACTGTCACTTCTTTGGAGTTCTTTTGTTCTTTTGTGTAGACGCCGTTTCCGACCGAATCATTCTCCTCTCTGAAGAGCATTTCCTTCCAGGCAGGTCTCCTGGCAGCACTTTCTCCCAGTGTTTGGGTCACCTCTGGAGGGTGACTCCCAGGGGATGGAGTTCTGGGCTGGTGGGTGTTTCTCTCAATACTAAATATTTCACTGTGTCCTTGCTCACGTGGCTTCCGGAGAGCAGACAGGTGCACTTCCTGTCTTTGTTTCTGTGCAGGTAACGTGCTTTGTCCCTCTGTCCCCTTTGCACGTTTTTTTCCTTTGGTTTTCTGCAGTTCGAAGATGAGATGCCTGAGTGTAGGCGACTCGGTATTTATCCTGCCTGGTGTCCTCTGAGCTTCCTGGATCGTGGTTTCGCGTCTGACATGATTTGAGGGGAATGCTCAGGTCTTGTTGTTTCAGACCTTTCTTCTGTACCTGCTCTCTTTTCTCCTTCTGGTGTTCCTGTTAAATGTACGACACACCTTTTGTGGTTCCGTGTTGCCGGTGATTTTGTTCTGGGTTTTTTCAGTCTTTGTTCTCTTTGCTTTTCATTTTGTAAGGATTCTATTGATAGATCCTCGAGCTCAGAGACTTTCTCCTCGGCCATGTTCAGCCTAATCAGCCCATCAAAGGCCTGTGTTATTTCTGCCACCGCGTTTTGTATCTCTGGCATCTCTTTTTGTTCTTTCTTAGAATTTTTATCTCTGTTCTTACGTGCTGTCTACTTTATCGGTCAGAGCCCTTAGCATATTAGTCATAGTTGGTTAAGTTCCTGGTCTGACAGTTCCAGCGTCCCTGCCATGTCTGGTTCCGATGTTTTCTCTGTCTCTTGAAACTGTGTTTTTGCCATTTGGTGAGCCTTGTAACTTTTTCTTGTGAGCCAGAAATGATGTGCTGGGCCAAAAAAACTCTCTTCCGTTTTTGTTACTGTCTCCTTTCAAGGCCAGCCCCTGCAGTCACGCCTCGTCAGAATAGAAGCGCAGTAGGTTTCTACCGGGTCTCTGCCTCTCCGTCTCTTAGACGTCAGCTCCATGCACACGGCTGGAACACACTCACATGTATACATACACACATGCGCACACAACGTTTCCCGTGAGCTGCGGCCTGAGCGGCGAGATCCCCCACAGCCTCTCCAGGACCTGCTCCAGTTTAAGCTCTTGTGACTTAACTGTAGAAATTTCTGGGATTAACCAAGCGCTCTCCTTTCTAATTCCAGTTACGCGAAGGGAGACTTGGACATATCTTACGTCACATCCAGAATCGCTGGTATGTTTGTCACTGTTGACCATGGGACGTGCTTCTCATTCCCTCCTGAGGACAACTCGTGGGACGCTGGCCTCCAGCATATCCCTTGCTTCAGTGTCAGGCAGAGCGTGCAGGATGTGGCCTGGGGCACCTGCAGTGGACAGTGCCAGTGTCGACCCAGTTTCTCCCCCTGGTCTGGAACTTCCTGGAACTCTGAGGTCATAAGGGGAATGATGCAAGGCACATTTGAAACTTGGGTCTCCCGACCAAACCCACACCCAAATCTCGACCCTTGGAGACGCTGCTCTGTGGCAGGCCCTCTGACTGAACTTCTGTCCCAGAGGCACTGTCTGGAGATCCCAGAGGGTCTTGCTTGTAAATGGCAGGCATTGGAGGGGGTGGGGGTCTGTGCTCCCTCCGTTCTTGACACGCCCTGTACTCCTCAGTCAGCAGCTGGAACGGGGGGCGGCGGGTGAGGAACAGGGGCCTGGGTGGCCGGCTGTCTTGCCACTGGCCGGTGAGGCTGCCACACACAGGCCACGTGTCCCGCCCCGTTGTGGCTGACGTGGGCTGCTCTCTTTCAGTGATGTCATTCCCAGCCGAAGGTGTGGAGTCGGCTATCAAGAACAACATAGAAGACGTCCGGTTGTTTTTGGACTCCAAGCACCCAGGACATTATGCGGTCTACAACCTCTCCCCAAGGACGTATCGGCCCTCCAAGTTTCATAACCGGGTGGGTGGCCTGGGCGCTTGCCTTCAGCGCGTGCGGTTCTCTTACTGTCGGCCCTCACACCCAGCTGTGGCAGCGGGCTGGCCTCTGACAGTCCCCAGCGGCAGCCGTGGCAGCCCGCGGAGCCCAGGTCCCTGGCGCTGGGGGGCTGGGGTACGGTGACGCGGGGCCCATGTGCAGTAGGCTGCGGGGGCAGGGCTATTCTCGCAGAAGACTCCAGAACGTGAACTGTGACGGTCACCTAAGGATGGCTAAAAATCACCGATGCCTCACTGTTCCTTGCCAGTGAGGCACATGTGAGGCCACACATGGGACACAGGTGCGGCTTCCTGACCCGAGCATGGGAAAGGACAGGTTCTCCGTTCTTTTGCCAAGTCTGCAAAGCTTGGTACATATTCTGGAGCACAAAACTCAGGGGCAGGAGGCCTGCAGACGTCCGTGGGCAAGGGAGGGAGGGAGGTGTGCGTGAGGCAGCGTTGGGCGCCCGTGGTGGGGCTCCCTGTGCTTGTGCCCCCAACTGGTGTGGGGAACCCAGGCCGAACCGAGCCCTCTGCCCATAGGTTTCCGAGTGTGGCTGGGCGGCCCGGCGGGCCCCGAACCTTCGCAGCCTGTACAGCGTTTGCAGGAACATGCACTCGTGGCTCAGGCAGGACCACAAGAACGTCTGTGTTGTGCACTGTGTGGTGAGTGGGAGGCTGCCTCATCCCTGCCCTTGATGTTGGGGGCGCACCTGGGAAGAAAACATAAACCAGGGGGAGTAATCCCTGCTTTGGGGAAGCTCACGACCCGTTGAGGGGACAGAGAGCAGGAGTGAAGTCCAGAATGCCGAGCAGGGGGGGCCGGTGGGGCGGCTGGGTGTCCTGAATGCCGGTGAAGATGAGCTGAGCTGAGGTCCAGGCAGGGCGCTGTTTTCCGCTGCACAATTACAGGCCTTAACCAGTAACGGCCCAGCCCTGGCAGGACGTGGGTCACCTGCAGTGACCACTCGCGGGGGGAAGCCTCCTTGTCCAGTGTCGAGTGTGCTACCAAACGTCAGCTGCCTGTTGGCTTCCTGAAAGCCAGGGTCTGTTTGGGACATCCTGGGCTAGCACTGGGACTTGGGGCAGGTCGTGTGAGGAGCGGGTTCTGTCCTGGTGTCTGCAGCTGGTGGCCCCAGGCCCGGGTGCCCTGGCACGGTCCCTGTCGTTTCAAGGTAGACCCTGGAGGGAGCGGTGGCCGACTGTCACACATGGGCAGTGAGCCCACACAGGTGGTCCCCGTACCTTTCTTTATAGAATATGAGGGGTCTCTCCGTGTGTCACTCTGTCATCTCCCTGTGCCCTGAGGCCACTCTGCTTCATAGGACCCCCGTCTCTGCCCCTCCTTACCGTGGCTGAGGACAGTAATTTCCAGTTTCCCACCTGCACAGTGAGGGTTAGGTTTCTGGGTGTCACAGAAAGCGGGATGCTTGCCACAATGGGCCCCAGAGGTTAGTGCTGCGATTCTGGTGTTGATAAAGGTCCTCCCAGGAGGCATGATGAAGAGAGCGAGTACAGAGGGGTGGCGGTAAGCCTGAGGCCCGCTTGGGGACCGTGGTGGTGAGCAGTGTCCAGCTGGAGGGGCAGGCCATCATGTGCTTCTTGTTAAAGAGCCCCTATCTTTCTGGATTCTGAGTTCTTGCCCCAGTAGGGGTGTCTTCCTACGTCCCCAGCCAGGGGGAGGCCCTGTGGTGGTTCTGTGGGGAAGTGTGGGATTAGGGAGCCTGCCTTCCTGCCGCTGTGGCCGCACGAGCCTGGCCTGTGCCGCTTGTCCTAGGACGGGAGAGCTGCCTCTGCTGTGGCCGTCTGCTCCTTCCTGTGCTTCTGCCGGCTCTTCAGCACCGCAGAGGCCGCCGTGTACATGTTCAGCATGAAGCGCTGCCCGCCAGGCATCTGGCCATCTCACAAAAGGTACCGACCGGTATCCCACCTTGGGGGTGTCGTACAGGTGTCACCCTCGGGCAGGTCGTAGCCGAGGGTGTTGAGAGGTGGGGAGACTTGAGGGCCCTTGTGCAGAAGTGGGCAAGGCCACGCAAGCTGGGGGAGCCTGTGCCCTCCTGAATCTTGGCTGGCTTCCGCAGGGACAAAGGGTGTCCCCCTGTGGGACAGGCGGGAGTCTGAGTGGCTTTGGGACAAGGCCCGAAAGTATCTGATGGGAATTTAAAGCAAGTGTTTAATGTGTTGAGGGTACCGAGGAAGGAGATGGGTAAGACACAGGAGTACGTGGTCACGTCAGAGATGGGAACTGTAAGAAGAAGTCGAACGCAAGTTCTGGACCTGAGAAAGGCTGTGTCCTGGCAGCTGAGGGAGGAGCCTCGGCCTCTGGAAGGCAGGACAGGTGGCGTCACGGAGGCCAGAGCCCAAAGACAGACCACGGATGAGGGGCTGAGCAGCCGGGCCTGCCAGGCCGTGTCGAGTGGCTGCGGGAGGCAGAGCAGGAAGGCAACGTGCAGAAGCAAGTAGCCGAGAAGTTCCCCGAATTAATGAGTCGCCAAATGTCCAGAGGTCAGAGGATGCAAAACAGGCAGGCGGGAAGCCGACTCAGGCTCAGCACGCCCCGTCCACTGGAGACCACACGCAGAGGTCTCGAGGTCTCGAGGTCACCAGAGGGAGAAGGCACAGACCATGCTGCTGTCCTTGTCGGACGCCCGGGGCAGCCGGGACAGACGGTTTCACAAACTGGAGTCAGCAGGTCAGCAGAGGGAATAAACGGATTGGAAAAAATGCTCACTCGCCTCAAGAAAAGACCAACGAAGAAGAAGTCAAGAACAGAGAACAGCCAGCAAGATGGTGACTGGAACACGGCCGCAGCAGGAGCCGAGCGTGAAGGGTCTGCATGTGCCAGCCTCGGGGACTGTCTGACCATATACAAGCAGGACCAGCGATGCACTGGCTGCAGGGGCCCCGCCTCTGCCGTCAGGACAGGGAATGGTGGCCGTACAGCTGCCGCCTGATTCCTCGCCACCGGCCCGGCGGCTTCAGCCGTCCGCACGCGCCCTCTGCCTCTGCAGGTCAGGGAGTCCCGGCCCGGCTTGCACCTCCCAAGTCTGCCGTCGGGGTGCGGCCAGGCTGTGCTGTGGCACAAACCTCGCAGAGAACGTCTGCTGCTTCCTCCTCCAGCCCATGTCCAAGCTCGCTCAGGGTGTTGACAGGACTCACTCGTGTGGACAGAGATGTGGTGTGGGCGTCCGGGTCTCCTGTGGCGTGGGGACAAGTCCCCTGCACAGATACGCTAGCGCAATGCAGTGTGAGCCTCGCGTTCAGAAGCGGCCTCCCTTCTCTCCCTCTGCTGGGAAGCCAGTCACCGCTCCTTCCCCATCTCGAGGGGACGGGGTCACACAAGGGCAGGGACACGCGCCTGGTGTGTGCACCTCGGGGGCACCGAGAAAACCACCCGGGAGAGTTGGAGGCGCGAGTGTCCTGAGAGCAGAAATCAAGCTTGCAGAGCCGAAAACCCGTTGACGGAGATGGGTGTTCACCGTGGCATCGGCGTTCCCACCTCGGCAGCGGATGGAACTAGTACACGGATGGTCGGTTTGGAACGGAACGTCGCCGGCAACCAGCTGGATGATCTCTCGAGAACCTTCTACCCAGCAACTGGAAAAGACAAGGTCTTTTGAGTGGTCATGGGCCATTCAGTGGGAAAGATGTTCTGGCCATTAAACTGCGGCAAACTCACACAAACTGTGTTTATAATAGAATTACGCTAGGTATTGGTAACAGATTGGGGCACTTGGCTTGCTCAGTCGTGAGCACACAACTCTTGCTTGGGGTCGTGAGTTTGAGCCCTGGTGGGGGTTTAGGCGTTACTGTAAGAAATTAAAGAAATCTTAAAGAGAAAAAGAGAAAAGAAAAAAGAAAGAAATTGATAGCAAAGAAAACTGGAAGAATCCCTAAATGTTTTGAAATTAACCCACTGGTAAATTACCCGTGAGTCAAAAAAAAATCTCAGGGAGAGTTTAAAAATATTTTAAAACAAATGAAAATATATCAAATTTATGAGATAAAGTTGAACATAGCATTAAATACTCGTATCTGTTGGAAAAAAGTGTGGCGAGCAGACCAGAGCCCCGGGGGTGCAGCACGTGTGGCGAGCACGTGTGGGACGAGGTGTGCCTCTGGCCCCCGCAGGTACATCGAGTACGTGTGTGACATGGTGGCCGAGGAACCCATCACGCCCCACAGCAAGCCCATCCTGGTGAAAGCCGTGGTCATGACGCCCGTGCCTCTGTTCAGCAAGCAGAGAAACGGCTGTAGGCCCTTCTGCGAGGTGTATGTGGGGGACGAGCGAGTCACCACCACGTCTCAGGAGTACGACAAGATGCGGTGAGTGCGGGGCTCTCCCGGCCCCTCCTTCCTCTGGGAACCCCCGAGAGTGGGCGCAGGTGGCGGCCGGGGCGGGCGGGTCCGGGCCAGCGCGCTGAGGGCCAGCTCCCCAGAAGTCCGTTTCAGCGCTGCCCCCTCCCAGAAGCGCCCAGTAGCAGAAGAAGGTGTGGCTCAAAGTGTTGGTGCTTTAGGAGAGCTCGGGGCTCGCGCCCCACGCTCCCTTGGCTGTTCTTGGCTGGCAAGCTGTCTTTTTGGCGGAAGTGAACCTTTTCTCGTCCTGTTCTTCAGGGATTTTAAAATCGAGGATGGCAAGGCAGTCATTCCCCTGGGCATAACCGTGCAGGGAGACGTGCTCATCATAATCTACCATGCAAGGTCCACGCTGGGTGGAAGACTTCAGGCCAAGGTGCGCGGGGGCTCGGGCCCCCTGGGCCGTCAGCCTGTGGGGCACGAGGCAGAGGGGCCGTGAGCTCGGAACACCCGAGTTCCCCGAGTGCCCCATTGCGGGGTGCCGTCTGCGCGGGGAGTCTGGGCTGCGGCTTTGGGGCTGCCCCGTCACAGACCCGAGGAGCCACTTGAGAGGCTGCTGTCCCACCGTCCGTGTGGCCACAGCACCTGGAGGCGTGCACCGGATTCTCAGAGCCCAGGAACTGTGAAATGTCCGTCTGCAACCTGAGGGTCTGGTGTCCCCTCCCCAGCTCCAGGGTCCCCTGTCTGGGTCCCCTTCCCAGCTTCAGGGTCCCCTGTCTGTGTCCCCTCTGCAGGTGGCATCCATGAAGATGTTCCAGGTCCAGTTCCACACTGGGTTTGTGCCTCGGAACGCAGCTACCGTGAAATTTGCAAAGTATGTGGTGTCTCACGTGGGGAGGGGTCAGGACAGTCAGGTGCATGGTGCCTCCCCGCCCCGCTTTGCGCCCCACAGCAATGAACTCCACGCACTGGACACGGGCAGAGTGACATGGTTCGTGCGTGGCTGGGTTGCTGCACTGAGCTCGTCTCGGGTCTCGCCCCCACTCTGAGCGTGGCCCGGCGTCCGGTGTGTGGCCCCTCATTTGGGGGCCATGGTGGCTGCTGCTGTGCGCCTCTGGCTGGGGACTAGCCCGGTGCAGTTCCTGTTAGAACGCAGCCGTTCGCGCACCGGATGTGGGACAGCCAGGTGAACAGGTGTGTGTTGCTCTTCCACACGTGGGGTCCCTGACGCTGTGATCCGCACGGAGGGCAGAGGGCGTTGAGAGAAGGTCGTCGTCTGGGGTGAGAGACGAGAACAGAAGCGCGTGCAGTCGAGGATGATTCTCTTGCCTCATCCAGGGCTCTATGTAGTTTGTTGTGCTCTCTGACCTGCCCCCAGCACGTGGCGGGCGTCAGGGCTTCTATTGGGGGCAGGGGCGTTCAGGCAGTTGGACGGTCTGCACGGTGGGCATCTTGGTTGCAGCTCGTGTTTTCCCCTTTGTCTCGCACGCAGACACGCCCACACGCCCACACAGGTGCCACTCCAGGGCGAGGGGAGCGGAGGGGGTCTCTGGAAACCTCCGCCTGCCGCAGCCCACGTCCTGTGCCTGTTTCCTACCCAGCGAACAGGGGAGTACTAGGACCTGCCCCTTCTCTGGGGAGGAGTCGGCTCTGACACTCTGGGTGCCGCTCTGGGTGCCGGGGGACCAGGGAGTGGCTCCCTCTGAGGGTGGAGAGGCGTAGGGACCTCCTTGGAGACTGGACAGTCCTGGTATTCGGGCACAGAGCTTCACTGAGCTGCAGTCGGATCTGTGCCTCACTGTGTGTGTCGTGCTTCCAAAAATAAATAAGGAGAGAATTCTCAAGTCGTCTCGTTGGTGCAGGAAGGCGTGTGTCTTCTGTGGGTAGCATTCATTTTGCAGAGAGGCTGTCTGAAGCAGGACCGTTTGGGGAAAGAATTTGGAATGGTGTTAGTGGACCCACTGTCAGATAACGCCTGACTGGGTCTGGGTCTGTCCTCGAGGAGGCCCCTGTGACTAACGGAGGGTCCCCAGTGTGCTTGAGGGGGCAGGACACGAGTCAGCGAGCACGTCGGGCCCCGGGGCTGACCCGTGCCTCCTGAAGAGCAGGGCCCCTGGGGGTCGTGGCCCTGCTCACAGACCCTCATTGTTCCCTCACTGGCCTGCTGGTGGGCAGGGCAGGCCCCGGCCCTGAGGTCATCTCCGGGGGCCCGCCAGGGTGGGGAGGTGGGGAGATGGGGTGGCCACCAGTGTGGCACCCAGAGCTGCCCGCAAGGCCCTGTTACCCCAGGAGCTGAGCCTGCAGAAGTCGTGTTCTTCTTTGTGGGGCCCCCACCTTGCTCCTTCCTCCCTCCCTTGTGGCTGGGGGTCTAGGTCTCCCCTGGTCCTTGCTGGCTTCACTGCTTCAGGCTCACCACTGCGGTCCCCACACTAGCTGCTCCTGCCTGGCCGCATGGTGGCCCATGTCTCCTTGTCGTGGCCCGACTTACAGAGGAAGGAAGCGTGCGTGTGGGGGGCCCGGGCCAGGACAAGCAGACGAGTGGACAGAGGGTGCTGCGGCCAGTCTCCTGTGCCCACGTGGCTCCTGCAGGAGGAGTGGTGTCTTCAGGGCAGGGCTGTCCCCGCCAGCACTGCCACGCCGCTGTGCTGACTCCCCTCACGCCAAGGTGGGAAGGGTCAGCATCCCACCTGCTTACTTAGTTTATTCCATGGGAGTAAGACTTAAAGTCTGCCACGGGTTTTGCACCCAAACCGACCACATTGCCCTCGTGTCCACAGTCCTTCTGCCCAGTGGCTGTGTTTCGTTTGGGGCCGTAGGTGTCACACGGATGCCGCAGAGGACCACAGGGCCCCTCCCTCCACAGCATGGGCCGCTGGGGGAACCTCTGCCCTGTTCTGTGTTCCGTGGGGTGTTTGTCATTGTGTTGTTTTGATAAAGTTGGACCGTCGGCCGTGCACGTGGGTGCCTGGTGATGTCAGACGGAGCTGGGAGCCTGCTGCCCAGCTGGAGACCAGGGCTTCCCCACACGGTCTATGGAAATGTGGTCAGTCACAGTCTCTTGGAATACGGAGAGAGACGCCGGAGTTCCCTAGAGAGACACAGAGCCCACAGGAGTTCAGTGACCTGGCAGCCACAGACCCCACGGGAGCACCCCTCCCGCTGGCCATGAGCCCTGCGTGCCTTTCCCTTGCCACCCTCCCCACTCTGCAGGCACTCCCGAGGGCTTGTTTACTGGCACCTGTTAACTGTTGGGGGATTTTGCCAGGGTGGACGGCCTTGTGTTACAGAAACACGCATTTAAGATCCCTGTGGTGCGCGAGCCGGACCCCGGGACCTGAGGGGTGAGCACACGGGCCTTTCTGTGCTCACTTTCTGGTGAATGTGGAGCGACTGACCCATGAAGGTCTTCTTAAACTGGCATCTGGCCTTCCAACTGCAGGTACGACCTGGACGCGTGTGACATTCAGGAGAAGTACCCGGATTTATTCCAAGTGAACCTAGAGGTGGAGGTGGAGCCCAGAGACAGGCCCAGCCGGGAGGCCCCCCCCTGGGAGAGCACCAGCATGAGGGGGCTAAACCCCAAAATCCTGTTTTCCAGCCGAGAGGAGCAGCAAGATATTCTGTCTAAATTTGGTGAGATCCTTGTTTTCCAAACACACGGTCAGTGATGCCGTTTTGACACCTGCAGCCTCGAGAAAGCCTGGGGGGCCGGGCCTGCCCCATCCCCGTGTCAGGCTGTGGGCACGGCGTAGGGAGGCCCAGAGCCCCCACCTGAGACCCTCCCCGACGGCAGCCTGAACGTCCGACATGGGGGGACTCACGCAGCCACGGCTGCTCCCAGACCCCCCCGGGGCCCTAGGCAGCCCTGCCCGAGGAGTCATCACGGCCCCGCTGGGAGGGGCAGGTTTGAGTCGCTTGCTCGTTGAGGGAGGGTTAATTTTCTGGACGTGCATCGTTTTAAATGTACCTGGAAAAAGTCCAGGCTGTGCTCAGCACCCGCGGGCGGTACGGGTACAGGCGGTCCTTCAGCGGCCGGGCCCGTGGTCTCGGCTGCTGACTCCGGCACGGTGGTCTTCGGTCCTCGTGCCGCGTGCTTTCCGTCCTCCTGACGAGGACAGCTGTGTCCCTGAGAGGCGGGGGTGTCTGCACGTGTGGTGTGCGCGTCTGAGCCGACCGGGCCCCCCGTAGTTCGTCGGTGCAGGGCTCCCAGGGGTTTGGAATTGGGCGGCCGACCCTGTGGGCGGGGTTCCTGACGCACCTCCGCCCCGGCAGGGAAGCCAGAGCTCCCCAGGCAGCCCGGCTCCACCGCTCAGTACGACGCCGAGGCGGGGTCTCCCGATGCCGAGCCCACGGAGTCTGATTCACCACAGAGCAGCGGCACAGACACCAGCCACTTCCTCCACACGCTGGACTGGCACGGTGGGTGCGGGGCACCCAGAGGCATCTGGCAGGGTGCACGCGGCTATTTCCAGACCCCCCCCCCCCCCCCGGCCCCCGCCCCGCTCCTGGGCTTCTGACGTGGCCTCACCCTGCCGTCCCGTGTGCCCTGCCTTCCGGCCACGGCAGCCTGTGGTTTTCTTTTCAGAGGAGAAAGACACAGAGACGGGCCCAGAAAGCAATGTCGCTCAAACCAAGGAGGGGTCACCAGCCCGGCCATGATGCGGATCTGGCCGGGAGTGAGCTGTCCGACGAGGAGGTGGCCACGCTGTCAGCCGAGAGCAGGGACGCAGCTGAGGAGGACACCCAGCCCAGCTGGGAGGGAAGCAAGAGCAAATTTTGGCCGATGACGGCCACACCGGCCACGCCACGCGAGCCTGCGTCGCAGGAGGACAGCGTCGACCTCCTGGGGCTGCACTCTGGGACGGGGCCGGCACCCCCAGTGCAGGCCTGCGGGGCGGTCCCCAGTAATGGCATGACCTGTTTGTCGGCCTCCAGCCTGACACCTGCCTCAGAAGTCTCCCCTGGCACTGCATTGGCGCTTGCTGGCGTACTTTGCTCTTCACAAGCCCGCTCGCTTCCCTGAGGTACACAGAGCCTGCACCCCGAAAGGGCGGCGTAGCGTGGGTCGGCACGTGATCCATTCGTGGGGAGTAGAGGATACTAAGGCTTTAGTTGTCTGGCCTCGCCATCAAAATTACCTGGGAGGAGCTCAGTGCCCTGCCCTTCGGCCACCCACTTGGGGGTTGGGGGTGAAGCAGGCAGCCCAGGGCTGGATGGTCTGGCTGCTCTGAGGGTCAGATTCCCGAGGCCCCCCCGACACTCCCGTCCATCCCAGGAACTGCCAGCCCTTCCCCCACAGGCTGCCTCTCCAAGAAAAGTCTAAGGCGAGGGTATCAGGCTGTTCGGTGCCCTCTTACAGAGGCTGCTGTGGCCTCATCCTGGGTCTGAGGGGCCATTGCGCTGGCTGGGACTTAGCCTCGTGCCTGATGTTTTGGGCCAAAGGCACTCACGCACAGCCTCACCTCCACCTGCTTTTTGGGTGTCCTTCTGCAGCCGACCCATTTGATCCTCTCCTCCTGCCATCCGGTCCAGACACCCAGCCCTGCTCCAAGCCCGACCTCTTCGGCGAATTTCTTAATCCAGAACCTCCTGCTGCTCCCACCTCTTTCCCCTCCACCCACAGCGCCCCGCCCCCAGCCTGCAACACCGACTTCCTGCACCTGGGTAAGTGCCAAGGTCGAGGCCTGGAGGGTGGGCAGCGATGTCCCTTGCTGTGGACCCTGAGTTGCCACAGCTCCCCTCTCCCCTGGGAAGGTGACAGCCTGCGGGTGTCCAGCCCGTGCACGGGGCGGGGCCTCAGGGGACTGGTGAAGGCAGATTCTGGGGGCATCAGCACACATCTGGGAGGACGTGTGGCCGCAGGGCGGGGAGGCCTTTGAAGACCTACTGTCGTTGCTCTGTGAGCTGCTGACCCCGTTGTCCAGTTGGCAAGTTCAGTGACCACATGATGTGTCCTCGAGACCCCGAAGAAGCAAGAAGCCGGTCGGTGTGGACCGAGCCCAGTGCAGCTCCCCGGGGACCCTGGGGGTCGGCCAGGAGTGCCTCGGGGGCTGCTCTGTTCCCAGCCTGCTGCTCACACGTGAGGGGGGACAGAGGGTGCCCTCCCAGCCTCCCAGAGAGGGGGCTCGTGACTGCGTGCCCCGAGCAGGGGGCGCCCCAGACAGCGTTGCTATCTTTCCAGGGGATATACCAGCAGAGCCCAGCAAGATGACTGCCTCGGCCAGCCACCCGGATCTGCTGGGAGGGTGGGAGGCCTGGGCCGAGGCTCCGGCCCCTGCTCCTGCTAGTGAAGGTACGAGCCCGGCCCTGTGGAGACCAGTTCTCAGGCGGGCCCCCGCCAGGCTCTGGTATCTCTGTGTCTGGTACGGGACGGGACTGGGACCCCGCTCCCCCAGGCCTGTGGGCCGGGGCCGGGGGGGGGGGCTTGCGGGAGGCTCTGCCTGCTCAGGGCTCGTGCTGCGAGGGGTCCCTGTAGCGCTTCCTGGTGGCGTCCTGTCTGCGTGGCTCCTTTGCCTCCTGAAGGCGCGTGGCCAGCGCAGGGGCGGTGCCCCACCCTTTCCGTGCATCTTTCTTTTTGTATGTCTGGGATCCTGTCTTGTTGGGAACGTTCCAGTAGCGAGTTGCTGTCGAGAGCCTGTGACCCGTGTCCCCTTTCGGGGGCCATCTGTTCACCTGGGAGCAGTCCCAAGCCTGAGGTTCTCACCAGGGTTGCTAATTTGATACATAGTTCTCTTAATTTGCATTTTTTCATTTTGAAGCAAATCGACTGTTATTTTGCATGTTTTTAGTTGTGGTTTTTTTTTTTTTTTTTAATTAATTTGTACAAACTCTTTGTATATGAACGGCCGTCATTTGTAATGACCATGTGACATTCCCTTGTGGGGTTTATGGTGGTAACTGGTTCAGATACCGCAGCGTCTCAGGTAGAACATCTTCCGCTGTGACTGTTGTGAGGGTTGTCGTCTAGCACGGTCACACTTTACGCGCGTTCTGGGAAGTGGGGTTACAGGGTCAGAGTGGTAGGAATCTCCTTAGCTGCTTAAGGAGCGGCTGTGGCTGCGCGCAGGGCCGTGTCTTGAGCTGGCGTGGGTGCTGCCGCTGGCTGGGCGTGGCCTCAGGAGCACCCCGTGGGTGCGCCTTCTCATGCTCTCTCCGCCCTTCTCCAGGTCCTTTCTTCTCTGCTGGAGGACAGCCCGCCCCTCCCGGCCCCTCGGCCAGCCGGACCAAGTCTCAGAGCCTGGACCCATTTGCAGACCTCGGCGACCTCAGTTCTGGCCTCCAAGGTGACGTGCCCGCCCCATTGGGCGTGAGGGGGCTGGAGCGCTGGAGGAGCGCCTCTCCCAGGAGGGTGCAGGCTGTCTGTCCCTGGCCGTGCTCTCGTTGCACGTGCTTGTGAACCACGCTAACACCGAGAAGTGTCAGGCACGCGTGGGCCATCTAGGGGGCAGGGACTTGGCTGGGAGCAGTGGATGTGTGGACAAGACGCCCCCCCCCCCCCCCCAGCATCTGTGCCGGGGACGTGTGTCCTCGGGGTCCCTCTGGCTCCTACAGATGTGTGGGGAGCATTGGGACCATGAGTGAGCGGTCCCTTATCCCTTGCCGGTTGGCTGGCACTGGAGATAATGTCTGCTTGGCAGTGGGGCCTCAGGACCGTGCCCTCCTCCTCCTGGAGCATAGCGGGTGTTCCCTGCAGCCCGCATGGCGCCTGGCACAGCATCGGTGTGGTTTGGGGCCTGATGTTCCTCAGTGCTGGGCAGACCGCTGTGCCTCTGACGCGCTTGTACTTCCTTGCTCCCTTCTTGTGACGCCCATTGGGTCTACTGGACGCTCCCCACTCCCGCCGCCCACGTCTCTGCCATATTGGGGCTCATTCTGCGTCTGTCTTGTTGGGTCCCTGTGGCTCTTCTACTTTGAGTAGTTTTGTTCTCATGCGTTCCTGTGTTCCAGGTTGCGTTGTCTCTCTGAGGGCATTCCTGGGAGTTTGAGTTTGCCCTTGGCCGTCTCCCCCTGTGTGGCCTGTGTCCCAGGCCGCTCACGCGAGGGGTGGGCTGCCCGGAGCCTCCTGTGTGGTGCCAGGCTGTTGGCCCCAAGTCCTGTTGGGGTGCTGGGGGGAAGGACCTCTTGGGCTTGGGTCCCGAGTGACCCATTCTTGGGATGGAGGCAGGCGTTCAGGTCTGCACTGTGTCCCCAGATCCTTCATCACACACGCTCAGGAAGCAGGGAGTCCTGGGGAGAGCTGACAGATGGAAAGGAGAAACCGGCGAAGTCAGACTCTAGTTGCAGACATCAAATCCCTCTCGACAAATGACAGAGCTGCAGGACATGAGGTCAGCACAGCTGGAGGCGTCCCTGGCCGGGAGGGCCCCGTGACACTCCCAGTGCTCGGCTCCAGCAGCACAGAGCGCACACTCTCCCCAGGTGCATCTGGGCCTTGGTAAGCAAAGCTCGGCACGTTTGAAGGGGCGACGTCACCAAGACCGTGGTGGTTCCCTGACCACATGGACTGGAAACCGGCAGCAGCAAGGGCAGCGTTCGGTCTTCAGACGCTTACGCGCCGGGCACACACGGGCCGTTAGGAGACGGGGCGGCGTGCGGGGCAGAAGGGAGCGGCGTGGGATCCCGAAGTGAGGGGCCGCGGCCCTGGTGGGGCTGAGCGGGCACAGGGCAGCACGTGGGCTCTGGGCACCAGGGACCCTCTGAGCCGTGTCGTGACCCGCCCCACGGGTGTTTGAAAAGACAGCAAGATAAACTCCAAGCAAAAAGAAGGGAGATGGGAAAAGCGCCTGGATCTGTGAAACAGAAACAAAACCTCATTCTTTGAAAGGATGAAGAGAAGTCAGAAACCCGTAAAATAGACAAAAAGACAAAGCTCTATTAAAACCAGTTGGGAAGGACGACGTCGGGAGTGAGGTGGGGGTGGGGGGGGTCCCTGCAGACCTAGAGGCTCTGGAGGGTGACGAGGGACACCCGGACTCCTGGTCGCCGGCCACCAGCAGAACCCATCCGGCGCAGAGTCCACCCCTGGGGAGCCCCGTGACCGTGACGGGAACGAGTTCAGAGTCGACAGGACCCCACAAGGGGTATTTTACCAAATGTTTAAAGAATTCGAACCAATCCACATGGCGTCTTCCGGGAAATGGGAAGAGGACAGATGCCTTCCAGGTGGTCTTGGGGAGCCGGTGTTACCCTGACCCCCAAATCGAGGGTCCGTACGAGAAAAGACGCCCGTGGGGCCAGTGTCCCTCATGAATGCAGATGCAGACGTCTGCAGCACAGCTGAGGCAAAGAGAATTTGTCGTCGCTCAGAACGAGCTGTGCCCCACAACCATGGAGGGTTCGTTCCAGGAACGCGAGGCTGTTCCCCATTCCACGGCTAGTTAACAGAGTCCACCCTGTCCCGGGCCAGGCAGGAGCTGTCCTCGACCCCGTCAACGGTGTAGGAGAGGCTGTTGGTGGTAAACGGCCTGGGCTTGTGTTCCGGGCCTGGTGGACGCAGGCCCGGTGAGGATGGCGGGGGCACGTGGAGAGGCAGACTGCGCTCACGGGTCTGTGGCTTGAGCACAAGCTTTCCTACCAGGAAGCCCGGTGAGGGTTTCTGGAGCCACGGGCGAGCTCGTAGTAACACTTGTGTGGAGAGTCGGAGGCCCTGAGTGACGGGAGTATTTCTGTAATGGAAGAATGGTGTGGGAGGCGTCCCTCCCCCCGGCTTCAGGCTTAGTCTGTAGCTGCTGAAGTCGGCACCGCCTGGTGTCAGCCGAACGCAGCGGGACCCACACGTGCGGGCCCAGCCGGTTTTCGACAGAGGTGCCCGGCCACCCGCAGACGGTGCTGGGGCGATGCGGCCTCCGCAGGCAGAAACACTCCCTAAACCTCACGTCCCCGTGCCAGGGGGCTCAGAAGCGGTCATAGATTTAAGCGTGAATGTGAGAGATGACAGCCCGTAGGAGAAAACGTAGGGGAATATCTCTGGGGCCTAGGGCTCAGTTTACCTGTCCCCTAGGCCATGAACCGCGACCCAGAAAATAACCTTGGACTTCATCAGAACGAAGTCTTCTTTGCTGAAAGATAGAAAGATGAAATGCAGACGTAGGAGGAGCATGCTTGGGCCGCGTGTCTGACCTAGAACTCACAGCGAGGGTACGCGAGAACGGTGAAAACAAAAACCCACTTAGAAAAATGGGTGGGTCGTGACGCGGTAGCCACTGGAAGGGCTGCGGGGGTGCCCCGAGCACGTGGCCACGGTGAAATCACTAGCAGCACGAGGCGCTGATGGGGATCGGGGGGAACAGTCTCACCCGTGTGGCTGGTGGGAACGTGAAACAACACGGCCGCTCCAGAAAAGAGTCCGTCGGTTTCTCAAGAAAGTAGATGTGTGGCTGTCACTCTTCCCAGAGAAAGGACAGGATTTTGTGCACAGTGTTCGAAGCAGCCTCGTTCGGAACTGCCGAAAACCAGGGCCAGCCGTGAGGCCCTCCCAAGGGCCAGTGATCGAACAGACCTCCCGCCGTGTGTCACTACTATGGGACGCTCCTCAGCAATGAGCAGGCACAGGTCCTGAGCACAGGGCACCAACTGCAGAGCTCACCTGCTCTCTGCTTCCATTTCTAGAACATTCTTGAACTGACAGTCCCGGAGATGGAGAGCAGAGGAGCGTCCTGATGCGTGCACGTGCTAACCACGCGCACACGCCGGTGTGCCCTCCAGCTGGCAGGTGCTGGGCGGCTGGTCTGGCACAGCCCGCGTTGCGTGAGCCGCGGCCTGGGGGCCCTGGAGCCCGTCGTGCGGCCTCCCGGCAGTCTGGTTCCACCTGGTTCCAAGTCAAAAGTTAAAGAAGCAGCACTTGTCCCCACTGTCCCCTAGCCCTTGGGGACCGTACAGCTGCGGGGGCCACCTTGACGGCTGCCCCGTCCTGGCCTCTGAGCTGAGCGTCCGTTTCCAGCATGTGTGCGGGCTTAAGTGCTGGGAACTTCGGGGACTGAGCAGCTGTCGCGTCTGACACTCGCCCACTGTGAACTGTCTCCCCAGGCTCGCCTGCTGGATTTGCTCCTGGAGGTTTCGGCCCTAAAACCGCCCCCCCTCCCTCAGGCGGCAGCTCCTGGCAGCAGACCAGT